CATAACAATTCGGCAAAGATTCGAGTACTTTAATTGTGATGCAGTGTCCGCATCATCGAAAAAGATAGTTTTTTTATTTACGAAAAGCAGGGAGATCGTAATCAACTGACACACGCAATTTTCTTTACACAGAAGGTTGGCAAACTATGACCCGCATATGAGGCTCGTCACATGGTCTGAGAATCAGCCAATGCAAGAGCAGCAACCACCTTTGAAATTTCAGCGAACATCAGGCAGACTACACGTCTTAATATCCCAGAAGATTGTCACCTGAACTCCCACCAATGACTGCCTCCTTCCAAATCCTAGCCTTATCAACATTAGTGATAATCTTTACATCTCATTTTAAACTATAGGGTCTAGCGTATCTAAGTTTGTTACAGAAATCCAACAATCAACGAGTCGAGTAAGACATTCCTAAAGCTGTCCATTGTGGTATTTTTAACCTGGAAAGCCGTGTGGACGTTTCGGAGAAATATACACTGACATGTCTTCAAGACTTACGCACAGCCAAACTGGTTGGAAGAATGGTAAATGATTTCAACAGAATATGTACTTCATCCTACTGTTTTTGAATATATATTCCGCACTTCTAAATATAACACCAATTTCAAAAAAAAAACGTTTAAAAACTGAAAGTATCAAATGTTCTCATTTTCCACAGCAGTTATTTAAGAATCCATTAAAAGATACTCCTCCAGATAATTGTTAACGAAGTAACTAAGGATGTTCCACGTTCCCCAGGAAAATATATGACTACAGCCAACGCATAAAACGACAGAAAGAGATGCAAGAAAATTATGCTATTGATTCTTCAGACTGCACGAAGGAAGAGAGAAAGATGCAAACCGCGACTAATTAAAAATACGAATACAGAGTCGTTCTTTGGATTTGTCCCGAGCTGCTGCTTGGCTGTTATCGATTGTGAGAATTCTTACTCTGCGGACTGCTGCGTATATGTTGCACAAAGGAACGCTGCCATTAAACCATAGGTTGGTAAAACTGCGTAACTACAGGATGCCTCACAGACAGTTTCCTTCCATTTTGGTGTCTCGACATTTTTTACGTAATCTCGTAATACCCTATATCAGTAGTCCGCAAGCTACCTTCCTCCTGTAGAACACTTTAATTTGTCGAAGACGTGACGACACACCACAAAAGCCACCTCACGAGAAGACGGTAGAAACTGCACGTGGTAATAAACATCTTTGCGTGTATTAGAACTATTTTCACGAAAGATAAGATAAAATATTGTCTTCTAACTATAATACGCAAACATAAATTTATTACAAAAATTGGCGACACACAAGTCGATGAAACAAGTCCTATACGAAAGCAGTGGTTCATAATTTAGAGTGGCGTGGAAAGAGGCGGTCGTCGCCTATTTAAGTAAATATCACAGCATTTTCCTCAAAAGACTGAGTAAAAACTTTAAAATGTCAGTGTAACCGAAGTCACAGACGAGAATATAACCCGGGATTTGCCGCATACGAAGTAGAAATGTCAGCCGCATACCACACAACGCATTCGACTCAAACTAACTTTGGA